GGAGTTCCCATTTTACCCTTTTGGTTGCATTTTCCCAGATTCTTATGTGCTGTTACCATGCTCTAGTATCAGCACTATCCAGTTTGTTTTCTAACTAACTTATCACGCCTTGACTAGACACCACCTTGCTGCTTCTTTTTTTACAGAGGCCCTTTAAAATTATCTCTTCCCAGACAGTTTTCTTAGTGACGTCTGATGTCTGCAGCACTTTGTTTATCACAGGGAAAAAAAGGCAGATTCATCACATTATTTTCTTTGCTTTTGATAATGTTGCAGTAAGTTAATTTGTACAGTACTATGACTAGAAAACAGTGAAATGCACAAACCAAAACCTGCAATGTAAACCACTCCAAAACCACAAAATTTAAAAGTCAACCTTATAGATTTTCAAGTGGTGTTTCCTGCTCTAGAAATGGGAAAACTTTTGTTTGTGAGAAAATTTTGTTTCCCTAGCTGTTGGCACACTGTACAACTTATTTTATAGCTGTTTTGGGGTGGTTAGAACTGTATCCATGAGGTCTCCTTCAGTACACTGTGTTCCATACACTCTCCTGTAGCAGCTAGGCACCTGTTGTGGTAAGGTATTTATTTGATGATGTCCATGTAATGGTTTTGAGGGCATAGAGAATGTAAGGTTTTTTCCCAGGTGTATGTTTTCAGCTTGGGATGTGCAGAAGTAAAATACTTTTTTGAGCTAAGATTTCAGAGGAACAGAAAGAACTCACATGTTTTACTTCAGAATAACATAACCAGTATCTAGCCATAGGGATTACATAAGAAATTCAGTTCCCACTTCAGGTTTGGAATATGATGCCTTACATAGCAGCTTCCCTCCATCTGTTTTGCATATAGTGAAGGTTTTTATGTATTTTCTTCCTCCTTCTCAGTCATTTATTCAGTACTTAATAATTCACAAAAATTTCTGCATTTACTTAAAGATTAAAGCTATGATTCTGGTGACAAATGCAGGGTTAGTTTAAGTGCTTACACACTCTCTTTTCTTTTTTTTTTTTTGACAGATTTTCCTCCCAAGCAATGGAGTTAAGAGTTAAAAAAACAAAAAAACAAAAAACAAAACAAAAACAAAAAAAAAACCAAAACCCAAACCCCCACTTTATTTACCCTTCACAGGGACTTATGCTTCTGGTTTTGACATAAAGAGAATCTATGGGTGAAGTTATATATTGCCTCTATACCCAAACAGGATGAAAGCCGCACTGTATTTACGTATGAAAGCAGCATTCTATTAGGCACTAGTAAAACAAAAGGTGAAAAAGGCCCTTTGGTGAGAGCTTAAATTGTAATTGGGTGACTAACTGGTGTGCAAGGTAGCCTCACTGCTCAGTCAGGTGCACCCCCAAGTTTTAGGTAATAACAGGCTTGGTTTAAGATGTGGTGGTGTGATAACCACTTGCCTGATTAATGCAAGACATGGTGAGTGGCTCTAAGAAAAGAGACAAAAGTATGACTGATGTGTCCTTGCCTGCTACATGTTCTCTGAGCTCTGATGGAGAAGGCTTTATTTGCCTTCTATTATAGACAGGAGTCTAGTGTATAGAGATGTATGGAGGAATTCAGGCCAACAGGACTGTGCAGCATGTCATGTGAACTATGCTGTGGTCTCAGGACAAGAAATGGAGCTTCCAGTCCATAAATACGCTTAAGTTTGATTGAGATTCAGCTAAACATGTGGCTTTAAAGACTAGACTTGGGTGAAAACATATTGATATCTTGTGGACTTGCAGTCTTCCTGGGATGGAAAAATGAAGTTGATTGAAAGAAGCAGTGAATAAAGTGGTCTTTAAAACTAGAAAAACTGAATAAGCAGAGGTGTAAAAACAATATATAAAGAGACTGAAGGCATGATGGATAAGATGGCAGCGGTGTTATAAGGAAGGGTATCCCTCCTGGGTAACAATGTCCTGCTAACAGGAAGATTAATAACCGTGTGGGCTTCCCAGGCCCCTGTCCACATTGCAGCTGATTTCTTGAGAGAAATAAAGCTTGTGTTTTGTTTACAAGAGAGCACATAACCACTGTATTGAGGGATAATGGACAGGGAGATGGATGTAGCCAGTGATTTTACAATGTAACAGTTTTGAGTCCTCTTGGGGAAACAAGGATGTGTTTATGTCTCTGCATACTGTGTTGTACTTCCAGACATTTCTCAAATACAAATTTGGCCTCAAATGAAAGTGGACCATCAGAGTAGTTGCAGAGGAATGTGAGACAATAGCATGGGTAGCAGACAGAGAAAATACGGGATCTAGGACTTTTGTAGATGAAAAACTGTCAAGTGTCGAAAATAGCCTAAATGGGCCTGCATCCAAGAAAAAGGTGAGGATTCCCTGGACATGCATCTGGGTGGCAAAGAGAATGGGCATGCTGCTGGCAGCAAATATGGAAGGAAGTAGGGAGAGTCCAGGAGGGAAGGCACAAATTCATGCAGTAGAAAAACACCCAGGAGGAAGTTTTAGAGAGGAGGTTTCAGAGTTATTAAAGAGTGTGAGGATTTGATTACAGAAGTTTCTTTTGAAGATGGAATTATTAATGAAGACAGATCATTTATCAAATAGTTCTAAACAAAGAGCTCAGGGTCTTCTGTTAATTACAATGGGTATGTCTGCAGTGCTCTGTGGCAAATACTTGATCTAGCTTTGAACAAAATAACTATTCTTTAAAGAAGTACCAAGGGCAGTATCAGTAAGGAACAGTCCTGTTTGCCACAGTTTTCATCAACCATGAATCGTTCTTGTTTTGTTCCAGTTCTGTTTCCATCTGTTCCTGCCTTGCTCACCTTCAGGCCTTTTTTCAGGGTGGTGCAGTTGCACTGGTGTCCAAGTGGAAGTTTATGTGTTGTGGAAAGAAGTTTCCTGAACTGCTTCCGCCATAAACATTCCAGCTAAACTCTACAGCCTGGAAGGGCTCCAGAGCAGAGACCCTGAAAAACACAGTCCAGCTGGTCTGAGAGATTATAGTTGCCAAATGAGTGTAGCTGTCTGCAAGAAGTCATGTATGGGGATACGGCTTTTACTCGTCCTTGTGTAGTTCAAAATGTGAACCAAAGTCATTAGGCTGTTTTTGCCATGCTGATGAAATGGTCTCATTCAAAGACTAATGGAGAGACAAAATATGTATTTAATGGCCATGGAGGTCCTGGCATGTGGCACAGGTTGTTGGCTACTTCCTTGTAGTTATGACTATATGCCCTGTAGGCATATAATGTTTCTTTCTGTTAATTGTATTCTTAATGATTGAAGTACAGCCAATATATAGTACTGATGCTCAAGAATATTTTTTTTCTATCTCTAGGACCTTTGGTTCTTTTCCTTGCAAAGTCAATCAACCAGTTTGCCTGTGATGCACCCATATTCAGAGCTGTACCACTAGTATGTTTGTACAAGAGGAGACAGGTTTGATCTGACTGGAGGTAGGATGACTGCTGGTATGTGATCATGCAGTGTGATGTGGGAGCGTTTTTGTTCACCAGTTCGAGCTAATGGGTGGCAAATCAAACTCTTGTATAGTGAACTTGAGTACTACTTTGATTACATAGGCTGGTCTGGCTTTATACTGTAGGTTCTGGTTTAGGCAAAGTTGATAGAGATGAAAGGTAATTGTTAACATTAAAGCTAGTGGGTGAGGTGAATAGGATTATATGTGTAACTCTAAGTGCAATTCACATCCAGTGGAAGTATTTTGCAGAAGCAGCAGATTCAATATAGTTCTCTACTGAGGTCAGGCATAGCTCTTTTTATCAGGAAAAGATTGAAAATATTCTCCCTGAGATGCAGAATGCTTTCCAGAGCTTCCCAAATAAATTAAGAACAAAGTCAGTAACCACCAAAGAGACACAGGATGCTGCTCACTTAGAGCCTAGCCATTCTTACCACTTAACAGACTTAGTGCTGTGCTGAGAGCCTAGTAAAGCAGTGTTTCAGCTGGCTGGTCCTTCTTTCCCACTGACAGGTTAGGATCTAATCCATATAACTGCAAATCAAAACATCCTTTTTCCTCACAGCACCTCTGCCCCAAATTCTGTTAAATTTCCATGTGCTGCAGTTTTCGATCAGAATCTGCGTTCCCCATCTTTCATTTTCATGCATTATCATTTTAACCTATTAAAAATGGAAGACCACCTCCATCTCTCTCTTGTAGAGAGGGTGATAGAGCACATTCAGTATACATTCAGTTTGTGGCCCTTTAAACTTTACATTGTGGTTGTTCCAGGGTAAGCACTTGGAGAAGAAAATGTGAAACTGATAATGTACAAAAGATGTGCTCTTCTTCTTTTTAAAAATAAAAGCATACCTACGGCAATAGAAGCAGTAAAGGACACCACCTTCCCACACCATTTCTAGCCAGAGCTGCTCCGTCCACTTGGTTTTGATCACTTCAAACTGGAATTACAGCCTGTGAGTATGAGGGTAGCTAGCATGATCGTTAGGAAGACTAACGTCTATTTTTTTTCTCCTGCTGATTTCATTATGAGTAATGAGATTTTGGACGCTACCTTCTCACCAAAACCAAAAAGTCCTCAAGACAGAAGTGAACCCTGCCTGGGGAACCTCCGCCTGCCTGACCCTGTGCCCTGTTTCCTCCCGTCAGGGAACGAGCGAGGTGGGCTGGACGGCAGCCCAAGGCATCGGTGCTGCGCAGGGCGGGGGCTCTGGGCAGGGGGGGACCGGCGGCTGCGAGCAGCCCGGATCCTTCCTTCGCCTCTTCCGTGAGGCGGCGAGCGAGTGAGCGGGCGCCCTCCCTCCCTGCCGGCCGCTGCC